CAGACTAGCCTCAAAATTTCAATTCTGCCTCAGTTTCTCAAGGAACTTGGACCACAGGTGTTCAGCCTCTGTTTCATGGGTGTGCATCATTGTGCTATGTTCTCTTTATATCCGGAGAAAGATTTGTCAATTTCACTGTTTTTTACATTTTATTATTTTTCTGTGTTCCTTTTAGATTATGTTTACCTTTGTTTTAATTTTTGTTGTTTTTCTTCTGGTAATTTAAGGGTTATCTTGTTATCCTTTTTATAATTACTTGAGTTATAAAGGTAACTTGTCAATTTGAGTACTTGGGACTGAAATGGAAGAGTCACTCAGGGAAGAGCCACAGAAACAATAGTATTATAAGGTTATTCAATATCTAGATATTGGATCAGACACTGAAGGCTAAGTAGGCCAGGGACAACCTGTCTCTATCGGCTTTGAATGGCAGTTCTGATGGACATAGGATTCTTGGTGCATACTTTGAATATATTGGCTCACTGAGTTATGATCTCTAATTTCTGGTGAGAAACCTCATAACCTTATTGTAGACCCCTTGTATGTCATTTAAGTCTTGCTGATGAACTCAGGTGGCCAGGCTTGTGCACCCAACATATGCTTTTACCCACGGTTTCTAGAACTTAGTCTTATATAACGCCTTCAGCCCCACCTATGATCGTATACTCCTCATAACACCATCACCTCAAAGGTCTCACCTCTTAATACTGTTACAATGGCAATAAAATTCCAACATGAGCTTTGGAGGGGGCAAACATTCAAATCACAGTAATAACACAATAACACGGGAACTATAAAAACCAAGCAGTAATCACCAACTGAATACTTTTTCTATGCCAGGTACAGCGCCAGTCAGTTTTAAATATTAACTCGTTAACATTTTACAAGGATCATATGAGAGAGGAACTTTAGAAACAATCTATCTGCTGATGCAGTTAGTTGTTAGTTAGCTGAGGCCAATTAGTACATTCTCCTTGAGAAAGGTGATGTGCCTGGGTCACACCCCTGCTCTGCATCATTCCAAAATGTGGGTACCCAGCAGAACCCATTGTGGATGAAGGGCTTAGACAGATGGTACATTATGTGTGGACAAAGATATTGTATTTACAAAGCCTATAATTATTCTCTATCCCCATTATCTAGTATGCAACCCCTTCCACATTTGAAACAGAACACCCATCATGTTAGTACTGATGTGAGCAGAAAGACCAAGCATGGTCTCTTCCTGCTCTGGCAGTGAGACTAAGCATGCCCTCTTCCTGCTCTGGCAGTAGGACCAAGCATGCTTTCTTCCTGCCCTGTCAGTGGGACCAAGCATGCTCTCTTCCTGTTCTGGCAGCTATTAGGCTAGTCATTCACATACAGTCAACCAAGTGAACACTTTCTCTGAAGACTTGAATTCTTGCTTTTATATGTGTGCCACTCAATCATTCATGGTGGTGTTGGGAGTATCCTGGGAGTGACCAGCCTCCTTCTGGTAATGATCAACACGGTAAGATATACCCAAAGATGCAATAGTGGCAGTTATATCTTAGGAGTAACCAACTGTTGTCTAATCAGACTTAAGGATCACTCAAGAGGACAGAATACATGATTGGTTCTGTAAACCTAGCCAACTATCAATGACTGGTGAGGTCATGAACCCTAGAGGAAGACCTATTACTGACACTTTCCTGGTAGAGTAATATTCCCAGCTCAATTCTAAATACTTACCTTTATATTCACAGATAGTGTAGCTCTCACCCCTCACCAAAGAAGCTTCCTTTTGCAGCAGGTGGAGACCATCACAGAAAGCCACCTAAGGCTCAGGACACATCATGGCAAGAGAGGGTGGAAAGACTGTGAATCAGAGGACCAGGATGTCTGCTGTGAGAGAGTGTCCTTCATATATGACAGGGACGGCACCCATGAAATGTCAACAGTACGGTTGGTTACCTAAACAAGACTCATACAGCGGCAACACCAGTTGCATCCCAATGTGGATGGAGGAACTCTCACAGATGTTACCATAGGTGAAGAGCTGCAGGCAATGAATGGCTGCTGAGAGGGGAAAATAGTCTTCTCCCGGGATGAGACCCTGTAATCCCAAGAGGTCAGCTCTACATGCATATACATATGATCAATGATAAACGGACTCAGCCATATATACATGTGTGTATATGTGTGTGTGTGTGTGTGTGTGTATTATCACTAATAAAGAGAAGAAGTCATGAATTTGAGGAGATATTCAAGGGGTTGGCGTGAGGAGAAGGTAGTGTGGAAATGATGTAAATATGATACAAACATACAAAAATCTCAAAAAAATTTAATTTTTTAAGGAGAAGAAAAATACCAGCAAAAGGAAGATGTTTGGGCTCTTTGACTCCTTAGCACTTTCTTAAGTCAGGTCCATGTCCCTGGCCACCATCACTCCAGCATTTGATGGAAGCCTTCTACTAATCTCTCTTAAGGTGTCCCAATTGGTGTCCTGCTTGCAACCTATGCTGATTGGGATAGGGCTCTTTGTCTTTGAAGTACCTGTGCATACATTAGTGCTTTCTAACTGGAAAATAACTTGATCTTCTGTGATTCAGATGAAAAAACTTTAACTGTGCTGTAGCTTGACAGAATTTTGGTTATTTTACAAGCAGTTTGGCTGCGAGGAAAGCAGCAATCTGGGGTAGATTGGAATTGCCTTTTAAAGGCCACATATGAAAAGATAATATATTCTCAGTATTTCTGCTCACTTCCCTTCTGGTCAGGAGACTTCCTGTTGGTCTGTCAGGAGGGACAGTGTGTGCTGCTTGCTCCAGAAATCTCCGCCCCCAACTTCCCAAAGAGTCTCACAGTAGCTAGTGAGGATTAGTTTCTTTGGATGAGTGGCTATCACAGGCAGGAAGGTTGACTGGGGCAGAATAAGCCACTTCTCTAGCTACACATTCACCCAAGGAGGCGTTTGCTTCAGGGATGAGGGTGGGGTTTGTTTAATGGACTCAAAACAGGTGCATTTAAAGCGGCATACCTGCAGAATCCCTCTGCCTTGCTCTTACTCCAGCGTCTTTGCTTTTGACAGTCTTCCTTTTTCCTTTCCACTCTTTATTGCTGCTCATTCCTGCTGGTACCCTTCCTAGCATGGGTCTACATGGCTTACCAGGGCCTGCCAGTCTATATTTGTCCCCTCCCCACTATAGCTCCTCCCCACTATAGCTCCTCCCCACTATGCCCCCTCCCCCACTATGCCCCTCCCCCACCATGCCCCCTTCCTCACCATGCCTCTTCTCCCACCATGCCACCTCCCCCACCATGTCCCCTACCATACTCTCTCCCCCACCATGCCCTTTTGCCACCCTTTAATATTTCTCTTAGTTTCCCATCTCCCTGTCTGCACACTCACTATTCTGGAAGCCTCATATGGATGGAAATCTAAGTGTAGGACCAGACAGCAGCAGCCACAGGGCTCACTTGACACTCGGCAGACAGAGAATAAGCATCTATGAAAGAATGACTGGGCTGGTAAGATGGTCCAGCAGGTAAAGATGCCTACCTGGTTCTAAGCCTGACGGCCTGTGATTCATCTGTTGGAGGACAGAATCAACTTTGGGAAGTTGACCTCTAACCTCCACATGTGCCTCATGATACATACGCACACATGCACACATGTACACATAATAAGTAAATAAAATATTAAAAAGGGAACGGCCCTGGAGTAAATTCTCAGCCTTGCTGTCTGATGGGCAAGTCACACCCCAGCTCTCACTGATGAAGAAGGGACATCAGTGGGGTCATAGAATGATCCACAGATGCCCCAGCGTGTGGGAACTATTCAGGACACGGCTACTAACGCGACTCTCCAGCCACGGACCTCCAAACACCCTGCAAGCAGACCGCCCTTGAATCCTTCACAGGGACCAGGCCTTCTTAATGAGGATGGAGAGGGAGGAGAGATGAAGAATAGTGTGAATTGATTTGGAACTACGTATGGGTGTGGAGTTTTATTTTTGTCAAAACTTTGGGCTACAATTGCTGGCATCTAGAGGGTGGAAATCAGGGTTGTGTTCAGTGCCATACAATAGTTACCTGTCTGTCCTGAGGCCTCAACAATTTTTTCTGGTGCTCCTCCCCTTGCCTCAACTTTCAAGTATGTGAAACATTTTATTGATAAAGTAAATTCAGTTTTAGGTAAGAGTATGGCAAACATTAAAGATTTTTTTTTACATAGTCTTATTACAGTTTCCAGCAATAGCTCTATCAGTAAAATACAGATTACGTTTGGTTTTGTTTCCAGGTTCTTTACTAGACTTACTTGTTGCTGCACAAAGTCACAGAATGTCAATGGAGGCAATGCTGCAGGTGCAGGTGCCAGCAAGTGCCACCAGGGTTACCATCAAACCCACAGTCCCTGTTTGTAGCTATGTGGCCAAGCCATTTTTACCATAGATTCTTCAGAGTGAAGACAGAAAGTCTGAAATAGACTCAAAAACTGTTAAAACGCACAGAATCAAACAAGTGCAAAAGAAACTTAGTTATCCTTATTTATTTATTTATTTATTTATTTATTAAAAACTGATGGCATTTGTGTGTTCTCTGAGGTTTTTAAAAGTTGAGATCTTAGCAACTTTTAGGACCATATTTGTTTTAACACATGGGACCACAGTCTCTGGCTTGTGTCTTCAGTCAGTCAATCCACCGTAGAAGGGTAGGAACGGTGCCTTGTCGGGCACCAAAAGAACAACTTTCAGGAGCTAGCAGGTTCCAGGGGAAGGTACCGAGCCGTTCTGAGTAGGGTGACACTGTCTGCACCCCCGGCGTGAGAAAAGCAATAGGCTGCGTGGGGACAGTCGCGGGGCATGAAAGCATAGAAGTCAGGGAGCAAGGGCCACCCAGGCCTCCGGTGTCCGTGCCTGTTCCTCGGTGCGCGTTCCCCGCGGGGTTCAGTGTTGGGCAGTGCCCAGGGCAGCCTTTCCTGGGAGGGAGGTGGTGGTGGCTGTCCCCGCCCCTGGCCTCTGCTCCTCCGCCCTGGCTGCCGGGCGGGGCTCTGCGAGGCCAGCGCTCCAGCGCCACTGTAGTTTCTGCTGCGCCAGCGCTAGGGCCCACGGTGTCGCTCAGCCCGGTAAGACACATCCCACGACGCTGTCACCCTCCCACAGCCGCTCGCTGTCCCCCGTTCTGTCTCCGCGCTCCCGGCCACCCCTCTTCCTTTCCAACCCCTGACACACGCTGCTTTGGTCTGGGACTAGGTGGACTTCAGAGCTTTCTCCGGAGTGGCTGAGACTCAGCGATGCAGAGAGGATGGCCCTGGCACCTTCCCCACCCACACCGCTTGGACCTGCGGTCTCGGTGCGTGGGAATTTCAGAAGCATTAGTTCCACTTGTTGGCTGTCACTCAGCACCTTGCCCTGCCTGCAGGATTGAGACCGGCATTGGTCTGGGGAGGTGCCCAGGGCGCTGTGGGGGTCAGTGGAGGAGCACGGGCCAGGCTGATTGGCAATTGGTACAAGGGAGAAAAGGCTCTTTGGTGAAACTTTTCCATCTTTCTTTTACTTATCCGAGAGCCACCCCAGCTCACACACTCAAGCTGAGCCAGAGAGTTTGCGCAGGCTGTGAACCTCTGTAAACACAGAGTTCTGACCCGTTTTTGCCTGCAGATACTTCTGACAGTTCTGAGTTTGGATGAAAACTAAGGACTCTTTCTCAGAAGGTTTTCCTTTTTGCTTTAAACTTTAGTATTTTATTTCATGTGTGTGGTTGTTTCTTTTGTGTGCCTAATGCCCTGGAACTGGAGCTACAAGCATTCATCTGGGTGCTGGGAGCTGAACTCTATTCCTCTGGAAGTAAGTCCTCTGTAAGAGCTCTTAACCCCTGAGCCATCTCTCCAGCCCCTCTCAAAAGATCATAAAATTAAAGGCAGACTATGCTGAAAGAAAACAGCCACTAAAGTATTAAAAGAATACCATGTAATTTTAAAAAGCAAATAACTATTATAATTTTGAAATACCAGAGAATTTAGAATTCAATATATAGGCACTACCTGTAAACATGTTTCTAAAAAGTCATAAATACTGCTAATATTGCTGTGGCCAGCTGCCTACACAGCACTAGAAGAGAATATTAAATTTCAAGTAGACATCAGTGGAAGGTAAAGATTTTTTTCTTTCATTCAGACGATTGGACTTCAATGTAGATAGATACCCTGTTAGCAGAAAGAGTGCTGCTTTACTTGTTAGGCAACTTAGCTTCTGGGGTTTAACACTTCCTCCAACTGCCACTGTGCCCTCTATTCTGAGATTCTTTGGGCATCTGCTTCTCTTAAAGAGAAAGAGAAAAGCCCAACATCCTTCCCCCAAACCAAACAAGCCCAATACCTTCTCACAGATGAAAAGCATTCTGACTGTACTTGATGCAGAGGGATGCAGTAAGTACCCCACCCCCACCCCTTCTTTTAAACCTTGTCCAATACTGGCCATCACATCCCTAAATCTGGTACATAAAAGATTTACTGGATGACTTGGAGGTGGTTGCTTGTGAAAGCATCTAAGAGACAGCTGGATGCTTGGGAAATGGCTGTTTAAAATGAGTTGCTTCTTTTGAATCTGTCAGAGCAAATCCATAAACATGCTGGGACTTGGGATTGTGAATACTGGTGAGGGCCCTTGGGTCTGTTATGAGTCTGGTGCCCCACTATAGAAAAGAAACTGTCTTGATGGGAAAGTAGAATTCTAGAAGTTTCTTTTGCCCATGTGTAGGCTTGTTAATATGTTGTAATGCAGGAAATGTCTTGTAAAGAATGGAGACAGAAGTCATGAGGAAGCATTTTCTAGATGCACATTTCTCACCCCCGCCCCCAATCCCTCACCTGTCACAAACACTTTGACTCTGGAGAGTTGGTAAATAGGAGAACAGTGAGTAATTTACTAAAAGCTGCCCATAACAGGCCTAAAGCCAGCTAAGCCTCCATTACAGATGGTGAGAATTTTCCATGGAAGTGTTGGTCTTGTAACCAGTCTGTACTTCTGTGCATATTCATAGGACAGTTGAGCTGGATGAAGCTCAGCTCATTCTTCCCCTGTCTAAGTTTGGATGATTATCATGAGATTTTTCTCAACTCCTCAGATCTAAGCTTATTCTAAACTACAGAGAGAAAAACACCTCTAAGTTCAAGAGAACTATCACCCTATCCCCTTATATTCAAATCAAACTTCTACCTTCAAAGTGACCTACCCATGATCCTATAGGCTTCATTTGCTTGCTTATGAGAGGGGGCCAACAATTCCCTCTTCAGTGATTGTCCTGAGAAATTACATACAGCACACATTACAATAACTCCCACAAATGACCCCTCCCTGGCATGTTTTTCTTATACTTTGGAGCATGCACTTAACCATAGCTGCTTTCCAGAGAATCATAGTACATATTGGTACAGGAAATGGGGCATCTGGTTTCTATTCTGATTATGTCACAGGCCTAAGCATTTGATTTTGCTGTTCTTTGCCACAGAAATTCTATCTGAGGGATCAGTAGACAAATGTCCCTATTGGCTGTCTGCTGTGAACACCCACCTCTCCTTCCTATTCAATGAGAAGTGAATGCAGTTTTAGGAAGTAGAGGAAAGCATGGCCCATATGGTTAAAGATGAGCCCCATTTGGTACTACCTGGAATGCAGAAGACCTGGGTATCCTTCAGACAAAGCTTCCTTATGGATGGGTAACTGTGCCATTTGGTCAGACATTAAAAAAAAAAAAAGAGTCCTTAGGGAGCCTGATGTACCTGCTACCTGTGCGTATCTCCTTGTCCTAACCATCAAAGGACTGAATTCAGCATCTAGGTTCAAACAACAGATATAAAATCTGTAATCAAAGAGTCTTTTCTCATTGAGACGTTATGGGCTGGAGTCCAGGCAATGGCAAGCCAAAGTAATTGACCAGTTTGTTTATAGTGACACTCCACCCTTCGTAACTTTCTTGCATGTACCTTTGAATCCCAGCGTACTTTGGTCTGATGAGTAATTTTATAGTGATCATTTTAATGATTCAGGAAGCCAGGTGTGGTGGCTTGAGTACCTATAATCCCAACATTTGGGAGATGGAAGTGAAAGGATTTGGAGTTCAGTGTTATCTTTACTTGCGTATCATGTTAGAGACTTTCCTGGGCTACATGGCAGCCTGCTTCCTCAACCACCTGTTCACCTGTCTGCCCAAACCATCCATCCATCCATCCATCCATCCATCCATCCATCCATCCATCCATCCATTCATCCATCCAAATAAACAAATACAAGATTCAGGAGATCTGGGCCTAAGCTGACCCTTGCTGTGTGACCCAGTTACTTCACTGGAAACCTCCATTTCCAGGGAGTCTGTAGCTTGGCCAACACAGGTTTGTAGAGCCCTTGACAGAAAAGCTGACTAGAAGCCTACTGTGTAGGCGGTAGCAGAGGGGAGTCGTTTGTTTTTGTTTATCATGCACTAGACTGTGAGGGTCAGGTTCCCCTGGCAATCAGAAAATGGGAGCAAACTTAAACAAGGCTTATTTATTTGTGTGAGCCAGTCAAAACCCTTACTTTTCAGTTAAAACAATTCAATTCACTGGTGTGCAGTATCCTTTATTAAAGGCAAAATCTTTCCTAATGTAAATATGATTTTTGTTTTCTGCTTGGTGAGATAACCGATTTTATCATTATAATGCTTGTTTTGATTATAAAAGATTATTAAGTACTTAAGCTTGGAGGAACTTTCTTGTAGCTAAGGGGGTCACTGCTTTTTTGCAAAAGTCCTCATTAGTAATTTTTTTCAATTTTATCTATTTATTTTTGAGATTTTAATTATATTACACTTCTTTTCCCTTTCCTCCACCAAGCCCTCCCATAGGGCCTCTTTTTTGTTATGTGTGTGTTTGTGTGTGTGTATGTGTGTGTCTCATATATATATA